CTTTTTCCATAAAGGGCAAAATAGTAAATATTTCTTTATTAGTTTCAGGTGTGCAAAACAACGTAATAGTTAGACATTTATACTCCTCACAAAGTGATGACCCCCCCTTCCCCAATCTACTACCCCTCTGACATTGTATATAGCTGTTACAGTTACACTGACTCTATTCCTTATACTATAATCCACATCCTGTGAATATATATATATATATATATATATATATATATATATATATACATAGTTGATATTCATTATTCAGCTTTAGCTTCAGGTGTATACTGCAGTGGTCAGGAATCTACACCATCCATGAAGTGGTTTCCTTAATAAGACAAGTGTCCATCTGATGCCCTACAAAATCTTTACAACATTATTGATTATATTCCCCCAAACAGTCTTTCATATCCCAATGGCAATCTTGTGGTTACCAATTGTGCTTTCTTTCTTTCTTTCTTTTTCTTTTTTTAAGATTTTATTGGGGAATTGGGGAAAGGGGAAAGACAAGTGACTGTCCTTCTGTTTTTCAGTCCAATTGTGGAGGACATTGCTTCACTGGCCATGTTGGTATTGTGATCATTGCGCTCTTCCCGGCTGAGGCAGATCGGTCGCTGGCCATAGGACAGCCGTTCACAGCAGCTCACGCCAGCTGCCGGCCACTCACGCTGGCTGCCGGCCTCACACAGTAGCTCACGGCAGCCCACTGCAGCCTATGCTATCACTGGCGACTCACGGCAGCCCAGCTCCAGGTTGATCTGTTGTTCACCATCTTAGCTGCAGAGAGCACAGCGTCACTGGCTCATGTGGGATCCGAACTGGTGGCCCTGCTGCTCAGAGCTTGTGCTTCCAAGCCAACTCTTAATCAATAAGCCACTCGGCCGGCCCCCAATTGTGCTTTCTAATCCCCTCACCTTCTCTCTCATTCCCACCCTCCTCCTACCTAGCAACCCTCAGTTTTCTCTCTATATCTCTGAGACTGTGTCTGATTAGTTTGTTCATTTATTCTATTCTTTAGATTCCACATGTAAGTGAGATCATATGGTATTTGTCCTTCTCTGTCTGACTTATTTCACTTAGCACAATGTTCTCTAGGTCCATCCATATCATTGCAAATGGTTAAGATTTCATTCTTCTTTATGGCTGAGTAATATTTTATTGTATAAATGTACCACAGTTTCTT